TTTTTTTTTTTTATTCTACCGATTCTTTTGAAAAAGTATAAATGTTTTTTTACATATCATGTAGTCTGTGTCTTGATAAAGTTTGATTGGAATTGCAAAAGTTGGCTACTTGGATAAAGGAAAGCTCATCAGACTACTATTTTTTTAGATTATTACAAGGCATGTTAAATGAAGAGACTGTTATTCATGCTAATAGCTTTTACATAGTTTTTGATTTTTCAGTGTGGTCATTACTTTTAAGATGTGTTTATATCATTGAAGATTTGTAATTTTTCTGTTGTGAACAGAAGATAAGTAATTTCTCTATTTCATTATGATACATACAGTGGTTTGGTGATGCCGAAAAGCTTACCAAGGCTCTCTTCTCCTTTGCCAGCAAGCTGGCACCTGTAATAATATTTGTTGACGAGGTAAGATTTTCTCGTGAAAAATTGTGGCATGAAAATCTGGTGTATTATAATCTATCTATATAAATCTTATTTGTGCTATTGCTCAAGAAAATCTTGAAGGTGAATAATGCAAACTGTATTGAGAAACAACAGGATTTTGTATATGGAACAGTAAACATGATCTTTGTATGATGTAATATTTTGTACTTTGCTTATTGCTAGTGGTTTTTTTTCCTTCTATAAATTTTAATTTCTTCTTTTAAGCATGCCAAAGTCAAAAGAGGGAAAAAAACTCAAATCAGAAAGGACAAATTTATCGGGAAAAGCATAAAAAAATTTGAAATGAGCAACAATGGTTGAGTTTCAAGGAGGCATTGACTGCAAATTTGCCTCTGTGCTTCATTGACTTCAAAACAGTTAGTCTAGTACCATATTGAGGATACTATGCTAAAAAATTGTTTATATCCTTGACACCGAGTCTACTGGGTGATTAGATCCAGAAAAATGAAATTCACATTTTGCATCTCTGTTAGGCTTATTAAGAGGGCTTGTACACAAATTACTGGCCTGGTCAGAAGTCTAATGAAGCTGTTGAAATTTGTGTAACGTTTTCACTATTGTGGTATGCTAATATGAATAACGAATGCGTGTTATAATAAAATGTATAAACCAAATGTTGGTAAAAATGATGAAAGGAAATAAGGATAAATGAAATGCATGTTGCTCTGGCAATGAATGATCTTTGGGAAATGTATTTGTTCTTTTATTAGTGTCATGATATTAGTCTACAAATTTAACTAAGTATTCATTTCTTTTTTTGATGCATAATTGTTGCAAAGTCCCAGAATTGGATTCACTGCCTAATTTGTTATTCTCCTGATTCACTTTTCTTGGAAAACTGCCAATAATAATGTTCAGAGTCTGTATTATATAGGTTGACAGTTTGCTTGGTGCTCGTGGTGGTGCTTTTGAGCATGAGGCAACTAGAAGAATGAGAAATGAGTTCATGTCGGCATGGGATGGATTGAGGTCCAAAGAAAGCCAAAAAATCCTCATCCTTGGTGCCACAAATCGTCCATTTGATCTTGATGATGCTGTCATTCGCCGCTTACCTAGAAGGTATGATATTTTGAAACGGTTTTCTTGCTTGAGCAATCTTGTAGTATTATGTAACCAGTTTTCCTGAGGCTTCTGTGTGGGTTTGCACATAACTTTGTCTACTGATATAGAATTGATCACGGTGTTTATGGAGTTCTTTGGTTACTATATAGGATATATGTGGACTTACCAGATGTTGAAAATCGTTTGAAGATTCTAAGCATTTTTCTTGCACAAGAAAAATTGGAACCTAATTTCCAATTTCAGGAACTTGCACGTGTAACTGAGGGATATTCTGGCAGTGATTTGAAGGTAATACTCTAAAATTCACCGTCAATTTGAGATGTGTATTATGTATCTCAATACTCTCTTGTTCTTTTGCTGTGCAGAACCTCTGTATTGCTGCAGCATATAGACCTGTGCAAGAACTTTTAGAGGAAGAAAGGAAGGTGTGTTTTTAGCAATTGTATTCGATTAGTTTCACCTAAATTGCAAGAGTCTGCATTTCCTTTTATTTAAAAATGGTTAGTAGGTTAGACCAAGAGCTTTTTGTCCATTCTCTTATACTCCATTTAATTAGTGACCTTTTTGGGAATAACGTTTTAGTAGAAAATTGAGGCCTAGTTAGCGGAATTTCTGACCCATTCTCAATTCATTTGCAATGCTCGTGAGACAAATGTTGAAATTGCCGGTCACTGTTTCCATCTGGTTGATTGAATTGCATCATATCTTCTGATAATCAGGCAGTTCTTAAAGTGGAAGTAGGCTTGAAATCTATGATCTCTTGCATCTGCCTAAATTATTCTATATTTCCCATTTATCTTCAACCTATGTGCTATTTCTTTGTGCCTTGCCTCTAAATTGAGTCACCTGTTTTGTACAGATGGGCAAAAATGATGTATCTCCGGCTCCAGTACTGAGGCCTCTAACTTTGGAGGACTTTGTTCAATCGAAAACCAAGGTGAATTTCGCTAATTTATATGTTTACTTTACCATGGAATTTATATGCTTTTAGGTTGGAGGTGGTATGACTGTCACATATTCTTGTGTTAATGTGTTTTGTAGGTTGGTCCATCGGTCTCATATGATGCTGCAAGTATGAATGAGTTGAGGAAATGGAATGAACAGTATGGAGAAGGCGGAAGCAGAAGAAAGTCACCTTTCGGTTTCTGAAGCTAATGTTATATTTTTGGTTTATTGATTTATTTGTTGTTGGATTAAAAAAGCTCCAAGTCCAGTTGCAAAATATATATAAAGAGAGCTCTGGATTTTCATCCTTTTTGAATGGATGAGAAGGAAGGATAAGTTATGCCAATAGAATTATATTTCATGTAATCTTTAGGTGGTGTAGAGGCATAAGTTCTACCATGTACATTATTATTGCTAACATTACATAAATTTTGAAAATTCTATCGGCTTCGTTTGGTTGGATTTTGGGAATACTACTTTTAGTATTCCCAAAAAAGTTAAACAGTAAAATACCAAAAAACTCACAATATTATTCAACTTTATTCAACATTTTTTAAACCCTCTAAATTTGTTAATTCAATTAAATACCCCTAAATATTTTTAATATTTTTGTTACGGCGACTCCGGCCAACCTCCAGCGGTGGTGGCCGGTTGTCCGTATTTGAGGATGGATTGGGAGTGTTTTTGTTAACTTTTAATATTTTATTATAAGGGGTGTTTTGTAAAAAAACAAACATAGGGGTATTTTATCAATTTGTAAATCCTATATCGTAATACCCGCCCAATTCAACTTTTTTTTTTAACTTTTTTCAAAAAACTTTTCCTAAAAACACAAAATTGTGAACCAAACGGAGCCATCATAATTCTGAACAGCATTAGTAATCCAGTAATCTTTGAATTTTAACTTGCGGGTAATACCAGGGTACGTAATATCTTATTAGTATAGATACCTTTTTGTTAAAACTAAAATATTTATAGGTGCCTTTAGCTTATTGTTTTTATCCATATTCCCAATTCTATTCTTCAAATGTTGTTTGACACGTTATTCTCAAAATATTAGTCTATTTTTTTAATTATTTTTACACCTCATAAGTTTATTAATTTCATTAAATAACCTTCAGAAAAAAAGTTTAAAAACTAACAAAGCCAACCCTACCCACCAATACTTGTCAGATTTCGGCAACCACCATCGGTGGTTGTCGGAATCTATCACAACAGTCACAAGACCATTGGAAGTGGCTGATAATGGCCAGATCTGGCCGTCAACGATTTAGCCGTCGTTGACAGTCAACGACAGCCATATCTTTGGCCGTCGTTGATGGCCAAAGATGGCCTTTTCCGACCGTTGAAGGTCACATCCGACCAGATCCGTGGTAGATATGGCCGGAAAAGGCCATATCGATCGAATACCCGGCAGATCCGACCGGTATGAGTGGTTATCCAATTTTTCGGCTAGATTCCGACGGTGGTGGTCGGAATCTGGTACTGCGGGTGGTAGGGGTGTTTTTTTCATTTTACAATATTTAATATATTGGGGTGTTTATTAAATTAGCAAACCTTGGGGGCTTTTTCATAAATTTTTAAATTTTATCTCGTAATACTCCCCTATCCAACTATCCAATACTATCCCTAAAATCCTACCCAAAATAATAAACCAAACGCACCTTATAATTTTTAAAGCATGTTTAGAGTTTTTTAGTACAAAATTTTTTATATTTTCGTATTATTATTTTGAAGATTATTTATTTTCTCTTGTTTAATTACAGTAATAGTTACTAAAATAATGAATTAAAATCTTAATACATATTATTAAAACGTAAATTATAAAATAATTAAATCAAAACAATAATTTTTGTAATTATACTTCTATTAAATTATAACTTTTTTATAGTAATAAAATTAGTTTGTTTTATCGTTATGTGTAATATTTAATGTTTATAGTTGATACTTAAATAACAGTTCACTGTGGATTTCATTTGTAATATTTTGTTAAAATGTGTTTGATACAGTATCATATGGATGTAAAAGAATGTTGATGTTATTTTTTATAATAATCTTTAGATGTGAAGAGAATAATCCACGTGGTTTTCTCATCTCTTGCATCAAATGAGAAAACCCCATTTTGCCCCTTTTGGGCGGTCAAGGCTCTACATATGCTATGTTTAGCCATATTGTTTTCTACACCAAACTCATTTCATTTACTTCCTTTTATCACATTTTCACACTTTCTGAAATCTTCTTTTAATTTATATTGGTGTATAATATAATATTCCTGCTTATTTAGAGTGGTGTTATTTAAGTTTAAGCCCTACCTAACCTCTTTTTAAGCCCCAATAATAATTAAAATTGTTTTTAAAATGTAATTTATAAATATATTCTATTTTATTCCAATATTATCCTTCTTTATTATTTTTCTGCCTATATCTCTTTTTTCTCTAGAGTGAAATTCCAAACGCCATTTTAATATCTCAGGTTAAATCTTAATTATATATATATATATTTTTTAAACTAATATTGAGGTTTAGAAAGAGATTGGGTGTTGTTAACCACTCTTTATTTGAACTAAAAACCCCAAGTAGAATTAATCAGTTAAAATCGTTAAACCCAAACAAAACCCACCGACCGGAACAGCCACTACTTCAGTTGAGTCCCAATTCCCAAAGGAGCCAAAGTCCAATCTTCATACCCAGAGCGCTGTTGGTAACTGTCTCTCTTTCTTTTAAATCTTTATCTTCTGTTGCTTCTTCTTTTCCTTTTCATATTCTGATGATCATGTTTAATTTAGGTTCATTTCCTTTTGACATCCGATCCGAATACATGTCTTCATCTGCAATTCTAATTTATCTTCAACCTCTCTCTTAATGAACTTCACTAAATTCTCAATAATTTTGTACCCATTCCATCACAAGAGCGACAAGACACTGATCGCACCGCCTCAAGAACCAAAAAAACCCAGTTCAATAGTTTATCAAAATGGCCTATTTTTTACTCTCTCGAGCTTCACGCACCAGATTATTAATACCCTCTCTGTCTCTCTTGACCAACACCACTAAATCAACCATCATCTCTCACTCTCATCCCATTTTAAACCCTAATTTAAACCCATTTTCTCTCTTTCAACGTTGTACTCCGAATCTCGAAGAAAGTCTTAGATTTGTCTCCATTGCTAGAATTTGTACTACCCCTTCAGGTTTAGCCAAGAAAGAAGAGAAAGAGACTAGTAATAATAGCAATGACATTTCATGGATTGACTTGTATCTACCCAGAGCAGCCAGGCCTTATGCGAAGCTTGCCCGCCTCGATAAGCCCATTGGGACTTGGCTGTTGGCTTGGCCTTGTATGTGGTCGATTACAATGGCGGCTGCCCCTGGACAGCTCCCTGATTTGAAGATGTTGACTCTATTTGGCTGCGGTTCTCTGCTCTTAAGGGGTGCTGGATGTACCGTTAATGACCTCCTTGATAGAGATATTGATACGAAGGTAGCTACTTTTACATTCCAACTGGAATTATACAATCTACATGTTCTCATTGTTTTTGTAACCAGGAAGTTACAGATTCTCGTTTTGATTTTTAAATAATTTTGTGAAACCATAAGGAACATGGCATAAAAAGTTGAATGGTTTCGTTTCTACTCCTGGATCATTGATTATATTAGATCATTGTGAAATGCAGGTGGAACGTACAAAGTTGAGGCCAGTTGCAAGTGGTCTTTTGACACCATTTCAAGGGCTTTGTTTTCTTGGATTTCAATTGCTTTTGGGTCTTGGGATTCTCCTTCAATTGAATAATTATAGGTTGGTGTTGTTTTTATTAACAATATAGGTGCTTCTGTGATTATGAACGTCTGCAACATTTTTTTCTAATCTTATTTTAAATATTTAGTGCCATTGTCTTGCAAACAAGATCCCACTAAAACAATAATGGGGTTTATAATCTTAAGTATAAAATGATATCTATGATTTTGTTTATTTGCATTGGATTACAAAGCTACAATCAGCTAAGTAAGTTACGTGAATAGACACAAATCTATCCCCTGGAATTAATAGGTAGTGTCACATTCCATGGTCAAATTAATGACAGCATATTTTGATTGAATGTTTCTGCTGCGTAGTTTCCCTTTTTCTTTTAACTTTTTAGTTTGCTAATCTTGTTAAAATGGTGTCAACTGCATGTATACAAAGGTTGTGATACTTAGAGCTGATTAATTTTATTCTAACAGCCGTATTTTGGGGGCTTCATCCTTGTTGCTAGTCTTCTCTTACCCCCTCATGAAGAGGTTCACCTTTTGGGTAATGGTGTTTCTATACTTTTTCTTTGTTCTTCACTTTACTTGAATTTTGTTGTTTCTTTATTTCATTTTGTTTATTGTATCTTTGATGAACAGTCTTCCAAGGTTTGACTGATGTGTCTGTAAAATGAATATTTTCTTGTTCAGCCTCAAGCGTATCTGGGCTTGACCTTTAATTGGGGAGCCTTATTAGGATGGGCTGCAGTTAAAGGGAGTTTAGATCCCTCTGTTGTGTTCCCAATGTATGTTGCGGGAGTATTTTGGACACTTGTGTACGACACGATATATGCACATCAGGTATAACAATAATATGTCTATTGAAGGTTATGGTTACTTTGGGCTGTGCTCATGCTTTGTAACCTTTTTGTGGAATTAGACTATTGATATGTTGGAAACTTTTTGCAATGAAACATTCATGGGTTATAAAATGTCATTTCTCTTTCACTTTCTGTGTACTTGAAGAAAAAAGATAAAGTTCCTGATTAATAGTACAGACAATGTTTAAGGAGTTTGTGCTATTATTATAATTAACATGAAGTTTTATGTCAAAATGATTAGGGTTTCTTTATATCCTTAAATTCACAGGGTGTATCCATTCTCAGCTTATGTTGTGGTCATTCATATTTATTATTACTTTTTTTTGTTTTTTTTTTTTGTGTGTGTGTGTGTATTAGGTGTTGCAATATTAATCTATTTATGTGGTTCATAGATACCTTCCCTTAATTGCTTAATGATTTCGTGGTTTCAAGATCTAATCAGATTTGTAAAAATCTATACACTACTCTTTGCTTGGTATGAAATGAATAATATTTGATACCTTTGATTCAGGATAAAGAAGATGATCTGAAAGTCGGTGTGAAATCTACTGCTTTAAGATTTGGGGATTCAACTAAGGAGTGGATTTCTGGGTTTGGAATTGCATGCATTAGCGGTCTTGCCCTCAGTGGATTTAATGCTGATATTGGTATTTACTGCTTTCTGTTTGTCATGATACTAATAAACTTCTCTTTTAATCTTTTGAACTCTATTGTGGGACAGGGTGGCCTTATTATGCACTTTTGGCAGCAGCATCTGGACATCTAGGTTGGCAAATACGGACGGCTGACCTTTCAAGCCGTGCTGATTGCAATAGAAAGTGCGTATTTGGTATAAGAGCATATGCACTTTTCACTGTCATAGAGTTATTATATTTCTTTTCTGCGAAGATGAATATTATTGTTTTCCATTTCCATTTCCATTAGCCTCTTGAGGATATACTCATTCCGCCATCTTATGCTTCTTTCTAGTAGTTGAAACGGCTTGCTAGTATAGATGTCATTTTAATTATTGGAACTAGAGCCAAGTGTCATGCTTCTCTGCATGACTTTTCATAGTCTGACTTGTAAAAAAGGATACGTAAATCGTTTGCAACACAATTTTTGTTTGAAAACATGATGGAAGCTGCCCTTATGTTGAAAATGACTTACATAACAAAATCTGGTTTTATTTATCTGACTCTAGTATGTTTCAACTTTATTCTTCTGTAAATGTCAACTTGCTAACTGCAATCAATGCTTCTATTTTTCTGGTTGCAGATTTGTGTCCAACAAATGGTTTGGTGCTATAGTTTGTAGTGGGATTCTATTTGGAAGACTCGTGCAATAAAGGTAGAGGTGCTTTTGACTTCATAGATTTGATAACAGAATTTTATAAATTTCCTAATTCAGCAATAGTTTCTTTGTTTATGTTTGCTTGATGACATGCTGATGCCGTCAATTGATCACCCAATTAGGACAGTATTAACTCTTTATTTCGTAAGTTGTGTATTAAACATTAATGTTCTCAAGCAGTTGGGCTCACGTCTTCCTTTGTGTTATTGGTGCATAAACTAATACTCTTTAGTGCTTCAGAATAATCTTTTCATTGATAGGCTTGTGAATTGGCCCTTATAACATTAATCGGTAATTTAAGCATTTTTCTGTTTCTTTTTGCTACATATGAGGCTCTTTTGCAGTAGAATATGTTACAACAAAAATTCCAAAATGAAGTTCGTTTCATCAGTTCATTGGACTTGTAATTATCGATGTTTTCATTCTTATGTCTTGATATTGGCAGCTAAGGATGCTATCACAAGATAATGTTGTTCTTGTAGTGTCATATTGTTTTGGATAAATGACATGTTCTTCTGAATCAGATGTTGCCTCCTCCCAGGTGGAACTGCAGGGCGTTGTGTTGTAGATTTCAAATGCTGGGACAGGCTTATTTACTAACTTGGAAATAGATTATAAGTCGGCCATTTTTGCTGCATTTGAAAAGGATATTTAGAAATTTACATTTCAAGAGTCAAGATCATTTTTTGTATACGAAACCAGATTGATTTTGTTGTAGTATTCATTAAATGAATGTTGGTTATAGAGGAAAAATAGGTGAAATTTCTTTACAATGAACATTAACATTTTTCCTTGGGTCAAAGATTATAGAAATTTTGTGTCCATATATTCGGCATGTTGTTCCTTAGCTGTACCCTGTCAATGTTGAGTGTGGCCAATTTTGAATTATAAGATTATATCAATATATATTTGAAGAAATGCATATAATCAAAAGTTTTATCATGCATTTTTTCTTTTACAATTTCGCCCCACAAAACAACTAAAAGGTTACAAAAGCATAAACATGTTTTGACCAGGGCATCTGAAAAGAAATATTTTACGGACTCAAATCCTAAAAAGGTCCTTAAAAATTAACAAAAACGAAAAAAAAAAAAGGGTCATCTCCAATTAGGTCACCATTGCTTACCATTTTCTATCAGTGGACGTAATGAAATAGGGAATGAATGAAGAATCGAATTCACAAATGTAGCTGAATTAGAATAAAAATAATAAAACATAAAAATCTAAAGAAAACCAATTGCACAAGAATTTGTAACGAAATGTTATATACAACAGGATTACTTCCTGGCTGCGTTACATTGTAAAATGAAAGCATCAGCTATGAACACAAGCCGTTAAAAACACCCATAGGAATGGCAAAGATTGAAGGACTCTGTTGTACTGGTTTTTTTAGAGCTTCCATCAACTCTGCATCTTCAAAAATTATGTTGGGTACTTCATCAAAACCACCATTTTCCTCCTCACTAATCTCATCCTCCAGCGACGAATATAAAAATAAGCACTCCTCTCCTAATTCAAAATTTGAACAGGCTTCTGAACATGAACAAGATGAAGCACCATGTTCATTTTCTTCATAACTCAATGACCATTCTTCCTTTAAATCCTCTTCAACTGATTGCAATTCTTCTTCTAATCCTTGTACAAAAGGAGTATCCAGTAACATCTCAGCCGTGAATCTGAACATAGGATTTCTCACCAAACATCCCTTCAAAAAATCTCTGGCTTCTTTTGAAATTTCAGTTGGAATTTCAGGCAACGAATAATCATCCCCAATCATACGCAATAATTCTTCAGTCCCCATATTCACATTCCAAGCACTCTTGCCCGTTAGCATTTCAAGAACCACGCACCCAAGAGCCCAGATATCTGAAGGGGGTTCTTGCACATGATGAACCACAGTTTCTGGCGCCAAATACAGAGGAGTTCCTCTCAAAAAAGGATCAATCCTCTGTTTCTTCCTCTGTCTCCCTCTCTTCGCCAATCCGAAATCACCCACTTTCGCCACAAATTTTTTTGTACTCGTCGGCATTAGAAGAATGTTATCTGGCTTCACATCACAATGAACATATCCACCTTCGTGAGCATGAAAAAGTCCTTCTAGAATTGACCTTGTGTGGCGCCTCACCTCATCCTCAGGCAACCCAAATTTAGAATTTTCAATGATATCACCTAGGGTTCCTCCTGAAGCGTATTCTAACAACATATTGTAAGCCATCTCTCCATTCTCGCTCACAGTGGTTTCTTCTCCGTAACACTCAACAATATAAGGACAACCAAGAAGATTTTCAAGAATCTCTTTCTCTTTTTGGAGGGAAGCAGAAGCAGAGAAATCAGCAGACTTTACAGCCATAACGGGAGGCAAATTACTTGAATTTGGGTTCTTAGAAGTTGCCAGAAAAACTGAACCATAACTCCCCTTACCAAGAATGGAACCTCTAAACCATGAAACTCCATCGCTATCCATAATTCTCTTCTTTTTCAACTTTTCTCTTTGGTTGATTCTTGAAATTCAAATTCTGTGTTTGTCAAGAGCGCGCGATAAATGATTTAGTTTAAGCGCGTATTGCTTTACTTTTGGTTAGTTAGTTACAAGTAATTAATACATAGCCGTTTAAAAATTGAAAGACGAATGTACCCTTATATTTGAATATCACTCTTCTGGGTAGACAATATTAGGCCGGGTCAGTTCTAAACTTGTTGAATGGTTTAATTTTTTTTTTTTTTTTTGGGGGCATCATTTAAATTACTATTAAATAATTAGCAAAATGTTTTTATGTGAATTTTATAACATTTAAAGGTTTTTTAATAACATCAATTAATTATTTTAAATTAATTCAAAGATCAACACACTAGGATATTTAGAATGAATATTTATAATGAAAATGTGAATAATTATATTCTAAGTGTGATGAATATTGAAACTACAGGGATACTTCCTTCGTGGAAGCAACTAGGAGATCATGAAATTGTTTTGCCCTCACTGGGGAAAAAACACTTAAAGGTATAAATATATTGAAATAGTTGATATTCTTCAAGGATAGTCCAAACTATTCTTTTTCTTTCTCATTAAAATAATAACATAAAAAATAAAATTTATTTATAAAAGATACATTCATTTTATGGATCTCAAAACGATTTGACATTATATTTTTTACTACATAACATAAATGACTATTATGTTGCAAATATATTGATTATAATTATGTATGGTGTTTGAAGATTCTAAAATGGTCTCTCAAGTTCGAGTTCCCTAGATGATAAAAGAACAAGAGGAGGATCTAATATGGTCTTTTGAGTTTGAGTTCCCACCATTGCTAATAGGAGTGACCAGGGGTTGACCTAGCAGGCCCAGGCCTACCCTCACATTAAAAAAAAAAAAAAGTATTTATATAGTCCCATCAAAAAATTCTATTAATAATTATATATCTAGACTTATCTTTAAATTTAAAAAAAATAAGAAATATTATACATATATCCAAACTCATAAAAAACTTGCTATTAATATATATATATTCTACACCTACATCATATTAAAAGTTTTAAAACTCTCTCTACTCTTTTTTACGTTCATATGTTTTCTATGATTTTATCCCTAAAATTATTTATTCTCTCATTCTCTCTTTCACTTTCTTTATGTTATTCGTTCTTAAAACTTTTGAAGATTGAAATTGTTGAAACTTTCACTCATTAAGGTGTCACAATTAACTTCGTTTTCCGTTTTCTCAATTTTAGGTATGTGTATTACTCATTTCATTTTAGTTTATTTTAAGGTTGAATGATGCTTATTTTTTGGAGGTTTTTTATTCTAATTTGATGGAAAAAGGCATGGATCTTGTGAGTTTGTTTTGTTTTTTAAGAATGTTTTTGCTTTATCAAAATAAACCTTAACTATATTTTATTGAACGTTATTCTTCGCCCTTCACCCACTACTTTCCTATATTTCAAACGTCACCGTTTAACTGCTCAAAATTATTAAAGAAGTTTGAGTTATTATCTATGTTTATACTAAGAAAATTTTTCCTTTTTTTATTAATTCATATTAAAAGTCAAGGCAACGTTGACTTAATTTAAGTTTTGGTTGACTTTAGCTTAGACTAGGCCTAATCAAAATTATGAAAATTTATATTATAATCTTTCCAAAAAAAAAAAAAAAAATTAAAAGTAAAAAAAAAGAGGAGAAATAAGAATTTTTTATAGAACATTTTTGGTGGATTGTGATTGTTGTAAACTCTTTTAATTATATTAGATTTAAATGGATCGTTAGATTCCCGTGGTCTTTCACTCTCTTTAATTGAAGAGGTTTTTCCACGTAAAAATTTTTTTATGTTTTCTCGTGAATTGAATGTTATTTTCAACATAATTTACTCAAGGTTTTGCTTCTCATAGATTTATTCAAATGGTAAAGTATTGTATTGTTGCATTATTTTCTTTCAAATTATTGATATTATATTATTTCTTTTGCTTAAGATTTATTGATTTTTTTAAATTTTTTGCTAGTTGTTTGACAAACAATGGCGGAGCCACAAAGGCCCCTCCTCAGCAAAAATCCTGGGTCCGCCACTGGGGGTGACCACTGGAGCTCTTACTCGACTGGTAGTTTCATGGTCCCGGGAGATTAGTTGAGGCATACACAAGCTGACTTGAATACCCCTAGACATAAAAAAAAAAAATCCTAAAATCTTCAATATAGATTTTTATAAGGTTTTGAGTAGAAAAATTTGGTGTTTGATTGATGAGAAAATGAAGAAAACACAGTCTAGGAATATTGCTCTCAACGTTAGGCAATTGATCTGGCAAAAGTTGCCTCTTAACACACAACCTCCTCTGCAACAGCAACTCTTCGCCACGTTAGCTCCTCTTCACAGCTTATCTCTTGTTATTAGTCTCTTCCCTTTTCGTTGGGGTTTCCTCTCTTAGTGCGTCTGATCCAAAAACACAAGCCTAAATATAACAAAATTTGGTTCTTACAATTACTTAATGTACGTAATTAATTAAAGAGTGGGATATATATACAAACTGTTGTATGCACATTATGTAGTACACCTCTTTTAATATTATATCATTCACCTATATTTATAAAGTATTTATTGAATAAACTTTTTATATGCATTAATTCATTCATTCACATTGTAGGAATATTGAAGAGTTTGAACACACAAGTTGGTCATTAATATTGTTCTTTATTGAATCAGCTACACTTGATAGACAAATTCTCTTCAGGTAGGGGTATGATTGATCATAACAGGGGAGGAAAAAAAATTAAAATAAAAAGAGTCCTTATTTAATTAAGAAACTAGTGAATTCTATTGATTTATTGATCTATTTTCTTCATTGTTTGTTCAATCCATCCATTTAATAGCAAATACCAAATAAACCATTGCTGTTGAATAGGAGTCATGATCGGTAAAGGTTGACCATTAATTCCCGATAATTGGATCCTCTATTTCCGGCTTAACCAACCATTGGTTTTATCGTCTTGCTTTAGATCCTTACAATATTCAAGTGCTCAGTGTCAGTGGAAAGACAAGCGAAGAATTCGATTCCAATTACAGACTTTAAAATAATTATATATACATATTTCCAATTCCTAACTTAACACAAACAACACCAACATTTATCTATAATGGCGAAACTTAACAAATGTCTGTCTCTTTGTTTCTTCTTCCTGTGTTTGGCTACCATTGTCCCGAGGTTGCTCGCACATGAGGAAGCGGTTGCCCCAGGTCCTGATGATTACTGGAAGCAACACGGGAAGCAAGCAGCCAAGTATGCCGATCAAGCTTTTAACGAAGTTGGCCAGTGAGTAATGTTTTCATGTTATAATTTAGTGAATGGAGTGCATGCATGAGTTCAAGTTATTTTTTTAGTCTGATGTAATAATTTCTTTTGATTTGACGATCACGCAGAGACACCATCGCGAACCTTAACGAAACAGGAGGGAACCTCAAAGGGAAGCATGATTCTGAAGAGAAAGGGGAAGTGAAAGAGCACGGAAAGGGTGCGGAAGACAGTGAGAAGGTTGAGGAAGATAAAAAAGGAAACCTCAAGGGCGATGAGAAAGAGAAGAAGAAGAAAAAGGGCGATGAGGAAGAGAAGGAGAAGAAAAAGGGCGATGAGGAAGAGAAGAAGAAGAAAAAGGCCGACGAGGAAGAGAAGGAGAGGGAAAAGGACGACGAGAAAGAGAAGAAGAAGAAAAAGGACGAAGAGGAAGAGAAGGAGAAGAAAAAGGACGAAGAGGAAGAGAAGGAGAAGAAAAAGGACGACGAGAAAGAGAAGAAGAAGAAGAAGAAAAAGGACGAAGAGGAAGAGGAGGAGAAGAAAAAGGCCGAAGAGGAAGAGAAGGAGAAGAAAAAGGACGACGAGAAAGAGAAGAAGAAGAAGAAAAAGGCCGAAGAGGAAGAGGAGAAGAAGAAAAAGGCCGAAGAGGAAGAGGAAGAGGAAGAGGAAGAAGAAGAAGATAAAGAAGAAGAAGAAGGAAAAAAGGGCGGGGAAAAGGAGAAAAGAAACCAAAAGGATGAGAAAGAGAGTGAAAAAGAAGAGGAAGAAGATGAGGAGGAGGAGGAGGAGGAGGAGGAAAAGGCTGAAGGGCCAACCCAATTCTTGGGCTAATATAACGTGGAAATCGATAGATCTTTCTCTTAAAACATAAAATTATATAGGATTGTTATAAGTGGTGGTATTTTCATTTTCCCCACTAATTAACTAAATGTAGCTAGAATTTCAGTACTTCATGACTGTTTCTACCATATTTTCCAGAGGTAGAATATCTTATTACTTTCAATATATATCAATTAAAAAACTGGTGCTTTGTTCATTAATTAATTATCTCATTCTCAAATTAAGTAAGGCATAAATGGTCGATCCTTTATGTTACAAAGCCACTTTTTTTTCCAAGCCAGCTGCTTTGTCCTCGCTGCTAGAATTGAAATTCTCCAAGCCCTAGGGCATTAATTAGCTCCAAACATTAACAAGAGGGTAGGGTTTAATATTATATATAAGCTAACTAGAAACTACCTTCACCATAGAAAACCCAAGGTTTAACGAAAGAAAAAAAAAGCTCAAGATATTAATTTATATAGAGTAATACTAAACTTACAACCTTTTTATACAATTCTATGTAATAGTTTGTGATTGATCAATTTTTAGTGGGTCTCGTTTGCCTAATCATGAACTGTCACATCAGATTTGTATAAAAATGTTGTATGAAAAAGTTGTAAGTGTGGTTTTATTGATTTAGGAGGTGTTTGTCTGATCTTATGAAAATTAACTTATAAGCAATAAGTGCTTATAATCTAATTTTAGCTTATAGTCATTTAAAATTTCAAGCAATTACGTGTTTGGTTAAAGTACTTATAAGTGATTGATAAGTAGTTGACGTGTTTGGTAAAATATGGTTTATAAGTACATTTTATTATAAAATGACTAAAAAAAATACTACATTAAACAAGGGTATACTATAGAATTTTAAAATTAAATAAGGATAATGTGGTAATATACTTGGTCAAACTAGCTTATAAGCAGAGTTCTTATAAGCAAAAAAAAAAAAAAAAAAAAGTACTTCTCTCCCAACTTATTTTTTTTTTACTTATAAGCTCAAAAAAGTTATAAACAAACATGTCAGCTTAATTTTAGAGCTTATAAGCTAGTTTGACCAGCTTATAAACTTAGACAAACACCCTCTTATATATATCTAAAATTTACTTTCAATACTTATTCTACCTACCTTTTAAATCCTTCTTTGCGTAAGATCATAATACGCCATGAATATGCTTTGCCTCTACCTATTCATGTGTTTCTTTTGTGTGTAATCGAATTATATCCAAAACCTTAATTATAATTTAAAAAAAAAAATAGAAAAAAAGGAATCAAATCACATAAAAGAGGAAGAAAATTGTGTGCCGCCCATTAGGGGTATTCAGTTCGGGTACCCTACATTTTTTGAAGGAACCAAAATCAGAACCAGAACCAGAACCGATAGTTCCGGTTCTTGGGCACCCGAAATTGGAACCTATAACAACAGTTTCGGTTCTAGTTCTGGGCACCCAAGAAAATTATTTACCCCCAAAAGTTTATAAAATGACCAAAAAAACCTTTAAAAACTTACAAATACCTCCCCACCTGGCACTTGTTAACAAAAAAATAAAATTACAAATACATTATAAAGTCCTCAAGCCTTCCACCTCCAATTCAACTTTATGAAAACTAAGAATTTCACATTACAAATTACAATAATCTGTCGAAAAATCAGAAATTCAAAATTACAAACTCCAAAATTAAAATCACACATTCCACTCTTTAATGTTATTTCATATTAATCTCGATTCCCGGTTCCAGTTTCGGTTCTTGACTACAGGAACTGGAAGTGGAACCGCACAGTGTCGGTTCCAAATTTTTGGAGCCAGAACCTACTCATTGACGGCCAGTTCCGAGTAAGAACTAGAATCAAACCCCAGGTACCTGCTGGTTCCGGTTTTGATCGGTTCTTTTGAACACTACTATCGCCTATACATAGATAATATAAAAGATCTCTTGCATACCGTTAGATAAAATATGGGTCAATTATTATATATATTAGGGTTTTAGTTCTCTGTCAACTTTCAAGGTCCTATGATTTTATATACCTGGACTCCTTAATCATATTGATGTTAGTGAGAGTAAGGGTTAGTTTGGACAGCTATAGCTTTAAGTTTAATCAGTTTTACCCAACTTTGAAAATAATTAGTTTTAGAAATAATTTTCATTGTATTTGGTAAAACAAATTGCTTTGATTTTTGCAATATATAATGTTATGTTTGGTAAAATAGATTTTTAAATTGTGGTAGTATGTATAAAGACCAAAAAAAAAAAAAAAAAACACTTATTTTTATCTCTTCAATATAATTGTTTGAATACATTTTGGAATTATTTAATAAATAATTTCTTAAAATAAATTAATGATATATAAAAATTAAAAATTAAAGTTGGACTACTAAAGAATAGTGCCAACATTTACGTTGCCAGACCACCACTGGTGGTGGTTGCTGGCGGCCACCCCTTGGTGGCATGTCCAACGACACAAACAACATCAGAATGATAGGCACAAGACAATCTATTTGATGCTAATACATGTTCTTGGTCATTTTCACTTCCCATCATAAACTTTAATTATGAGTGAAAAGACCATTTTACCCTTATTCTTTAAGTTCTTCCTATTACTTTACAAACACGTATTTATCTCGGCATCACATCACATGTATTTTCCATAACCTTTCTACCACTCTATTCTCATGGCTAGCACACTTAATACATTATATTTATCATACTCACTTTTCACTTGAACACGTGATTCTATGTGAAATGACTATTTTTCCCCTATTGAAACTTTTTACCACTCTATTCTCATGGCTAGCACACTTAATACATTATATTTATCATACTCACTTTTCACTTGAACACGTGATTCTATGTGAAATGACTATTTTGCCCCTATTGAAACTTTTATGGAATTCTTCTATAAAACTAATTAAATATATTCACTATGACTATAAAATAATCCCTACCATATTTCTGAATGTGGGTATTACAATTTCTGTCAAGTCCGCAACCATGATCGGAGTTCTCACTAAATTTACAGGTTTGCTTAGCTGTATAGTAGGTCGGCCTTGTTAGATTCACTACAAGAAAAATGACATTCGGCGTTTAGCAAAATTAGATGTACATCATCTAGTTTAGATGCTGGTTGTCTTGCATGTTTAAATTTATGTAGTCGTCATTTAGTTATAGAATTGCTGTCCTAAAAAGAATGGGCAACTAAATATTAGGTTAGATGAGAAAAGGTTTTTTTTTTTTTTTTTTTTTTTTTTTAAGACCAACAATTTAGTTACTAACTGCTGTTTGAGATAGTCCTCTGAATTGGACGCTAAATGTGTAAGGGTAATTTGGTAAAAGTGTATCACGACTATTCAATTAGTTGAAGAATGCATCTTTTAGTGAAAAAAAAAAAAAATTAGTGGTAAATTCAAAAAAATTTAGACGCTGAATGTGTAAGGATAATTTGGTAAAACTGTTTCGCAACTATTCTATTAGTTGAAGAATGTATCTTTTAGTGAGCAAAAAATAAGTGGTAAATTCCAATAATTTTAGATGCTGAATGTTAAACCTAAATCTGGTAAATTACTTTCCACTATTATGAAATTAGTTGCAAAATGTGTGTTTTTATGAGAAAAAAATTAGTGGTAAAAGCATTTCGTTTTTAGTTAGAGAATGTATATACCTAATTTGGTTTCTTACATTTTGTAACTAAAGATTTAGTTATTAAAATTATTTTTTTGCATCTAAATAATATAGTAACCGATTGTATATGAGTTTTTGAAACTAATTATTTTAATTAGTTATTATTGATTAGTTCTAGGCAATCTATTATTTTTACAACTAATACTTTAATAGCTAATTGGTTAACATTTAAGAATATTATTTTTGCTTTTTGTAATTGACCTGATTTATACATTTAACATCAATAAAATAAGAGTGACACCATATAAAAATCTGGATCAATAACATCAAATATCTTCATTGCATATAAAATTAAGTATCCATACATGGATTTTTGTGTATAATGAGCAACAAAAATCCAAAATTCACTATCATGTGTGTATAACCAAAAAAGAAAGCATGCACCCCATATTTTCATCAGTACCTATCTATATGTGCATAACTCCAACAAACAAAATGCCCACCCCATGTGCACCATCTAAGGATATGTGCAAGCAATCCCAAAAAGTCCAAAAAGATTGTCCTACCCCCATGTCAAAATATGTACTTATAAAAAAAAAAAAAAAAAAAAAAAAAAAAAAAAAACTAACCATCAATGTTAACATCTCAAACGTTACCAGTTAAGGTTCTAAAAGCAACTGTAGCTAACGAGGAAGACTCATCATTAGTTGAGATGGAGATGGCAGTCAAGTTAGAGCGGTAGCAGGTTGCACTTGTGTAGTTGCTATAGTTATGTGAGTCAGCATCTCGAACATACGAGCTTGTTGTTCTTCAAGCATTTTGATTCTCTCCTTCTATTGATCAAATAGTATGAGCTGCTCCTCTAAATCTTTAATTCTATTTTATTTTTGTTCAATTGTGCGCCTTAGCTCTGTTGCTTTTAATGTATCATGCTGTTAAAATGCATAGTTGAACAACAACAAAATAGGATTAAAGATTTAGAGGAGCAACTCATATTATTTGATCAATAGAAGGAGAAAATCAAAATGCTTGAAGAACAAGAAGCTTGTATGTTCGAGATGTTGACTCACATGACTGTAGCAGCTGCACAGGCGCAACCTACTATCACTCCAACTTGACTGCCATCTCCATCTCCATCTCCAACTAATGATGAGTCTTCCTCATTAACTACAGTTGCTTCTGGAACCTCAATTGGTAACGTTTGAGATGCTAACATCAATGGTTATTTATTTATTTATTTTTTTTGGTTATATGGATAGTACAGATTTTGACATGAGGATAGGACAATCTTTTTAGACTTTTTGGAATTGCTTGCACAAATCCTTAGATGGTGTACAAGAATTGGGCATTTTGTTTGTTGGAGTTATGCCCAGATAGATAGGTATTAGTGAAAATGTGGGGTGCATGCTTTTTTTTTTGGTTATGTACACATGATAGTGCATTTTGAATTCTTATTACTTATCATGCTCAAAAATCCATATATGAACTATTAATTTGATATGCAATGAAGATATTTGATGTTATTGATCCATATTTTTATATTGTGTCGCTCTTATTTTATTGATGTTGAATGTATAAGAATATCTCCAAATGACTCTTTATATGACTTAAACTCTTTATTATAAAGAGTTTATCCATATAAACAAGAGTCTAACAGACTCTTTATTATTTAAATATAAATTAAAGATTTAAGTTTGGCTCTATATATTTAGAGAATCAAATTTCACTTTCTATCCTAATTTTAATTAATAAATTATAAGTTTTTATGTATTTTATTTATTAATTTTCTGTCCTAATAAGTTTCTTTCTTGAAAATAAAGAGTATCTTCATTAAATTTAAAGAGTGCATTGGATTTAAATACAAATTATGTTCTTTATATTTAGAAATTAATGAAGATATATTTATTTATACGAAAGATGTTCTTTAAAATAAAGAACACCATTAGAGATACTCTAAACCAAATCAATTACAAAGAGCAAAAATAATGCTCTTAAATGTTAACAAATTAGCTACTAAAGTATTAGTTGAAGAAGTAATAGACCACCTAGGACTAATCAATAATAACTGAATAAAATAATTAGTTTCCAAAACTCATGTACAATCGGTTATTATATTATTTAGATGCGAAAAATTAATTTTAATAAATAAATCATTAGTTACAAAATGTAAGAAACCAAATTGGGCATACACATTCCCTAACCAAAAATGAAATGTTTTTACCACTAATTTTTTCTCATAAAAACGCATATTCTACGACTAATTTTATAGTAGCGGAAAGTAATTTATCAGATTTGAGTTCAACATTCAATGTCTAAAATTATTAAAATTTACCACTAATTTTTTGCTCACTACAATATACATTTTTCAACTAATAGAATAGGCGTGAAACACTTTTATCAAATTATCCTTACATACTCAACATCTAAATTTTTTAGAATTTATCACTAATTTTTTTCTCATTAAAAGGTATATTCTTTAACTAATTGAATATATGCGATATACTTTTATCAAATTACCTTTACATATTCAGTGTTTAATTCACCTTTACACATATAGCATCTAATTCAAAGGATTATTTCAAACAACAATTAATAACTAAATTGCTAGTTACTTAAAAAAAAAACTTTTTTCGTCTAATTTAATATTGAAAAATGATATCTTTACAAAGACTCATATAAAGAGGGATACAAAGTGATATCATCCAGAAGAAAAAATAAAAAAAAAAAAGAGAAAAAAAGAGAGAAAAATTATGAAAATCAAGGATGAAAATTATCTTTATATATTTTTTTATATGTATCTTTATAAAAATAGCATTACTGATTGATATTTAATTAACTCTTCTTTCTGGGGATAAAGAATCTACCACTAAATGATAATTACGTAAATTTAAACGTGTAAGATCAGCATATGGACAATCTGCATCTAATTTTGTCCCATCTTTCTTGTAGCATCACTTCCTCCCAGGTGGAAATCATAAAATATATCAAATCAAATTAAAAGCAACAAGAAATGAAAGAGGGGACTCGGGTAACTGAATGCATGGATATCTGAGTAATATAGGCCACAAGCAACACATTTAACATGATGTTAAGCCGTGATTAGATGTTTTGTTTTACTAGTCATTTTGGCCAATCTGTCAAACCAGAATTCATTAGAAGAAAAGATCCCCTCATGGTGACTCAAGGTCCCACTCCCCCAATATAATATAAATTCACATAAATGAAAAACGTTTTGTCAATTTGAGTGTGAGACGGGTCACTTGTAACAACTCTTAAATTTGCATGCCTCACTTATATTTCTATATGCAGTCACTTCACTTGATTGTGTAAAGCAACAATGTGCTATTATTTGCAGGCCTTGAACTATGATTTTCCCAACTCAAAGCAAAAGATTACGACAAAAACAAACTATACTTTAATTAATACTACAATTTAACTTTTCTATAAACCCGATAATATAAAAAATTATAGGCACCAAAGGAACAAGAATTCATAGAGGCCCCATATTAATTGGTGACAAAAGGCCATTCCATTTGAGAAATGTGCTGGAAATCTAACTTCGGGTTCACTCATAGTGAGGAGGACCCCAAGGTCTAATTGAGTGCTTTGGCGGGCATTAATTTTATACACAAAAATTATTATAGATTTTGTTTTCATGAAAGAAGCAGAGTTACATCAAGTCATCAAGGGAATTAATATATGTATAACGACGCCAAGAAAAACAAAAGGCAAGGCTGCCTATACAAATCCAAAGAGAAACAACCCAAAAACCAGCTAACGCAACCAGCAAGAGCAGGATGCCAGCACCAGATCCAAGAGAAAAAGAAGCCTAGAAGCAGCAAAGGCAAGCAGCATAAGGTATAAAAAACCGAAGCAGCCGGAATGATTACTTTATCAATGTTCTAAGCTTTTTTTATCATTTTTCTCGTAAATAAATATATACTCTAAGATCTTTATTAGAATGGATTTTTAAATCATTCATTATTTGCATATAAATCTATCAATTTGTGGTTAGAGGGTGTACGAAGGCATAATTTAAGTAAGGTGGACACGAATTACTTTTGTGGGTTTGATTAATTAGAAAAATAACCCATCAAATTTAAGTTCTGTTTAGCATTAGAAATTTCGAATGGTGAGTGACTTTGTTTATGCCAGATATATAAATATAATTAAGACTACTAGTCCTTTGCATGAATATACTTACGCGTTGAATATTGTTCCTCAAAAGTCATACCTTTTGAGTCATCTTCCGAAGAATCCAAATCATCAGAATAATCCAAAATTAATTCATAAACCTCATCATCTGAATCAATTGTGTATCCCCAAAACTATCTCAAATACAGAAGTTTGGCTTTCAGCATTAACTTCCAAAAATCCTATCGTTGCCTTCTTCTTTCCCTTATGAGGGCATTTATCGGTAAAATGATTTTTGTCACCACAAATCCAACAACAATTACAATCTTTTGCGTTTTTGCTAGATGGGCAAGTAGCACAAACGCGCTCCGCGTTCCTTAGCATTGAGTCTACCTTTCCCTGTTCGCCTAATAAACCTTCCATGATCCGGAAGATTCCGTTTATTAGTAACATGTCTTTTTACCATATTACGGAAACGTTTCGGCCTAAAATTCTTTTTACCGAATAATCCTTTCCGTTTCACAGATTTCGATTGTTCGTGATCAGTCAAGAATTTACTTTAAGGACATACTCTAAATACTTAAAAACTTTTATGGAACTGTCTTTAAAGGATGACAAAGCTAGACTAGTCAGATGGCAGATTTGGTTTGCAAATTATAGAATCAAATTTGAATATATTTCTGGTAAATCTAACTTTGTTGCTGACTTTTTGTCCAAACATTTCTCTGAAGAAGTACAGGATAATGACGAACAAGAAGGAAACTGGAAATCATTTCTCATTCTCCAAGTGTAAACAATGAGGACACTTGAGGAGGAATTGTCCCTTGAAGATAACTTCGGCTCCAAGGGTTACTACAAAAAACGGAGAAGACTATGGATAAGCAGGTGATCTCTACTCCTAAGCACACACTCCTCACCGGCATTTATGATTATGAATAGAGTTGAGCGAGAAAGAGGAAAAGCGCAGATGGTTATCGATTATAGGAAATTAATTGATAAAACTATTGACGATGCCTACAAGATACCAAACAAATCAGCTTGTTTGAATAAGGCTAGATTTGGAAAAATCTTCTCAAAATTTGATCTAAAGTCAGGATTCTGGCAGATTAGAATGGAGGAGTCAAGCATTCCTTGCCATCTCTTCTTTGGTTTTACTAAAAACCAGAACATCATTATTATAGACTACACAAAAGTTAGATAAGTCTCTGAAAACCTTATCCATTTTTCCCTGAAATATCAATGGTTCCTGCTTTAGCCCAAAATGAAAAACCATCCATTCAAACAATCATTTCGGACAGGTGAGAGCCGTCAAAGGAATGCTTGACTCCTCCATTCTAATCTGCCAGAATCCTGACTTTAGATCAAATTTTGAGAATATTTTTCCAAATCTAGCCTTATTCAAACAAGCTGATTTGTTCGGTATCTTATAGGCATCGTTGATAGTTTCATTTAATTGTCTATAATCGATAACCATCCGCATTTTTCCTCTTTCCCGCTCATCTCTATTCATAACCATAAATGTCGGCAAGGAGTGTGGGCTTTTACTAGCACGTATTAATTGCTTTTCCAGCAATTCCGGTATTTGCTTACTATATTCCTCTTCTGCATCAGGAGTATAAGGATAAGGTTTGGTAGTTATCGTATCATCATCCTTCCTTAATTTAAGCGAAGCATATATACCGTTCCTTTCCCATAACTTTAACGGTTGATCATCAAAGCATAGAGAAGGTTCCTCTTTAAAGGATTTTACAAGTTCCTCAATCCTTAAAGAGTTCTTTTGGCTTTTATATTCGACCTTCAAGATTATCTCCCTATGTGTTGATTTATCCGTGCTCTCAGGACATGCACCAGAGGGACCAACCTCCTACGATATATCTCGTGCGATCCGATTTGTATGATGACTAGGATACAATCCCTGAAAGAAAACATTACTAGCCTCATCCACTTCTTCTACTTCAGAAGTTTTCAACTACCATTTTTCTTTTTCCAAAATTTTGAAAACAATGTGATCTACTTCTTACCTTAGTTTCACCAATCTAAATCCGTTTCTAACTTTTGAAACTTCAGTCTTAGCAAGAATAG